CGGTTTCGCGCCTACGTTCATTAAAGTGAGTGCAAAAGACTATGAATAAGTTGGGGTACTATAGTCGTTTATTAAGTTGAAGTAGGCGATTCAGCCCCGTGAGCACTTTGCGTTTATATTCGCGTTAGTGTTTTCTTTGTGTTTAGGTTGGGTTTGCGTTAGTGGTTGCGTTTTGATTTGGTTCGTTTTTGTTCTTTCTTTTTTCGTTTTCGTTTGTGTTTTATTTTCATTGGGTTTGTGTCTGTATTTGTGTTTGAGGTTGGTTTTGCGTTTGGATTTGGTTTGTTTTCGTTTGTTTTTTCTTTTGTGTTTTTTTTCTTTGGGTTTGTGGTTGGTTTTGCGTTTGTATTTGGTTTGTTTTCGTTTGCTTTGCTTTTTCGTTTGTTTTTTTCTTTGGGTTTGTGTTTGTGGTTGGTTTTGTGTTTGGATTTGGTTTGTTTTCGTTTGCTTTTTTCTTTGTGTTCGTATTGGTGTTTGTGGTTGTGGTTGGTTTGTTGTAAGTTTTTGTTTTCGTTTGTATTTGTAATTGTGTTAGCGTTATGTTTGCGTTTTGTTGTTTTGGTTTTGGTTGGTTGTGGTTTGGGTGGGCAATGCCGGGTTTATGATGATTACTAAACACACAGGTGATGGTCTTTAACAGAAGGGTTTTTCACAGAAGCCAGAGCAGGGCCTGGCCGGGACGGCTAGTCTAATATATAAAGCTCAGTTCTGTAACGTGTGGCAAAAAAGTTTGTCGTTGACACTTCTATGGATTTAAGTGTTAGATTTTTTATCGTGCTCATTGTCTAAATTTACGAGTCAAAAAATTACCAATGAAAGTCTTTAAAAACAATTTTCATTCTATTTACTTAGAAGAATAATTTTCAATTATGAACGCGACATAAATTTTTTAAAAAGTGTATCGACGTTTATAAAATTTCTAAAATTGTGTCGGAAATGTATTGACTGCACAGTTACTTCCCTTTAATAAAAAAATTCTTAAGAAGAAAGAATTTACATTTTATTACTTTGTTTTTGGTGTTAAGAAAAAAAATAATTACATAATTAGCGGGGATTGATTAAGTGCAATGTCGTTAGGTATTTTTAACACTGCCTTTTATTTATTCTATACACTGAACATACTGTTCAATATTTTTTTTTTTAAATCAATAACATTTAATAAGCCAGGTCCTACAAATCCTATATGTTTATTTCTTTCCATTTACGGATAAGCTTGGAGTATTATCATTTTAGTTCACTAAATTGAAACAGGCGCGTCCGCAGGCGCCCTTGCACGGTTCGATTTGGCACCCTGGGCTATCATGTGAGCGCTATGCTGCATAGTTTTGTTTTTAACAGTGCGATAGACTATGGGTAAGAAAGGTTACTATAGACTTTAAGTGAATCAAATCCGGGCGTCCTCCGGCACCCCGACAGGGTGCTATTTGGCGCCCCGGGCCTTCCGGTGTACGCTATGGTATATACGTTCGCGTGAGTTCAAAAGACTATGAATAAGTTATGTACTATAGTCGTTTACTAAGTTCAATCAGGCGGTGACGTCATGGTGCGTCCTCTGGCGCCCAGACAGGGTGCTATTTGGGGTCCCGGGCCTCCCGTGTTCGGTTTCGCGCCTACGTTCATTAAAGTGAGTGCAAAAGACTATGAATACGTTGGGGTACTATAGTCGTTTATTAAGCTGAAACAGGCGATTCCGCCCCGGGCTAGACTCTGAGCACTGTGCGTTTATGTTCGCGTTAGTGTTTTCTTTGTGTTTAGGTTGGGTTTGCGTTAGTGGTTGCGTTTTGATTTGGTTCGTTTTTGTTCTTTCTTTTTTCGTTTTCGTTTGTGTTTTATTTTCTTTGCGTTTGTGTTTGTATTTGTGTTTGTGGTTGGTTTTGCGTTTGTATTTGGTTTGTTTTCGTTTGTTTTTTCGTTTGTGTTTTTTTCTTTGGGTTTGTGGTTGGTTTTGCATTTGGATTTGGTTTGTTTTCGTTTGCTTTTTCGTTTGTTTTTTTCTTTGTGTTCGTATTGGTGTTTGTGGTTGTGGTTGGGTTAGTTGTTAGGTTTTTGTTTTCGTTTGTATTTGTAATTGTGTTAGCGTTATGTTTGCGTTTTGTTGTTTTGGTTTTGGTTTGGGTGTGCAATGCCGGGTTTATGATGATTACTAAACACACAGGTAATGGTCTTTAACAGAAAGGTTTTTCACAGAAGCCAGAGCAGGGCCTGGCCGGGACGGCTAGTTAAAATATATGATCTGAACTAAAAGACCGTTATTTAGTTAAATGTAGGATGTTATTCCGTATGTTCTTCTATTAAATCGAAAAAAGTGGTTTTATACCAACTCTGATTTTAAAAACTTTCATTATGCTGTAATATTTTAGCATTTATGATGACGATATATTAAATTCTGATTATAGACAAAAACATTTTGCAAACACGAATAGTGTTAAACAATTTCATTATATTCTAAAATAATTATTTATTTGTTTTGACATTTATAAATAAATGTGTAGATATATACATATTTATATTAAGAGAGTGATTATTTCCCCTATTTCACTTGTCATAAATAATTTCCTAGGAATTATTATGTCAAAGATTGTGTTACGTCCATTGTGTTTGGTTGTAGTATATATATATATATATATATATATATATATATATATATATATATATATATATATATATATATATATATATATATATATATATATATATATATATATATATATATTGTTTAGATTGATACAATTTTTGTTTTGTCAACCTACATTGTGTGTTTTTTTTATTTCTTCAGAGTGCTACTTTCAATTTATTTTACATCATAGCGAAGTAATGACATACCGCTAGTAATTATATATATATATATATATATATATATATATATATATATATATATATATATATATATATATATATATATATAATACACGTATATAGAACGTGTTAAAAATTCGGCGCCTTTTTTTGCTCTTTTCGCTCCCCCTACAACGAAAACCTGGATACGCCTCTGGGGGGGGGGGGGGTCCTTGGATTTTGTCCACCTAGGTTACACGGTTGTCACGCCACTGATAAAAGTGGAAAGGGTAATAAAAATTATCATAGATTTCGTGAACACGGAGAAGGGAGGGGCTTAAAAGATTAGAATAGCTGGGCACGATATCCGGTTAGCAGTTTAAAAATTTAAATTGTCTAATGCATCCAAGAATTCAATCTCCTTTCTGATATCTTATACTGAATTTAATTATTATGTTTATCGCTTTTTTTTAAAAGAAAGGTAAACTATTAAGTAACACGGCTAACATATGTAAAAAAAAATTATGGAAATTATTTTTTGAGGTTGGTAAAGGTTATGATAACAGACTGTACGATTAATTAGCTAATTAGGCGTACAAAGAACTAATTAGACGCTGATAACAAAGTACACGTTAAAAGCCACCCAGGTAGTTTAACCGTTGGAAGATTCCCGGAGTTACTTTCAGAAGCCCCAGGGATAGTGTTGGAAGACTTGTGGTACTTTTACAAGCCCTGTGGTATTGCAGAAGGCCTTGGGGGTATTGCTATAACATTTGAGCAGAGGCGTAGCGAGTGGGGGAGGGGGGGGGGGGGGCGGGGGATACAAATGTCCCCGTGCGCCGACCATATGGGGCGCCAAAATGGGTTGGAAAAACAAATTAAAATCTAATTTTAACTGCAGTTTTGCATTATAAATATAAAAAATATATGGGGGGGGGGGGTGCCAAATTGAAAGTTGTCCCCGGGCGCCGGGAAGGGTTTCTACGCCTCTGCATTAGAGGTGATATTAGAAGCTTTGGCGATATTTATAGAAGCCTCAGGGTACTTTAAGAGGCTAGGGGGTATTGTTAGAAGCTTTGGAGGTACTATTTAAGTATGAATTTCTCCCCCCCCCCCCACCCCTCCGGAAGCAACTGCTTTCCCTTCCCCACGGTCTCCTGACACCCTTTTCAGCTGTTACAAATTTCTTCCTATCCTTTCTGCCTCCTCCAGCATGCTACGTCGCCAAGTCTTCTTGGGTCGACCCCTGCGTCGCTTGCCCAATGGTACGATATAACTTTATAGCCTCGAGGATACGGTCCGAATAAGTATGATCAGAGGTACACAAAAGCTTGAGAAGCCCTGACCTATTTCGTCTGCTGTTGAATGTACGTAGTGAGCGCCGGCTCACAAAGAAAACATGGATTGGAAGGCTTTCTATTTCTATAAATTGCGCTGATGTTTTTATTTTGTTTATTTTTTTTTTCAGTCTTGCCCGCCTTGTTTCACGCAAAATTTTTCCATCTCACTTGTACTTGAGGGGATATTTTGAAATTATGTATTTCATATTTCCTTTAAGTGACATTGGTTTAATGTTTAGCTGTCGGTCAGTAATAAAATGTGTAGGGTAATGTTACTGCTAGATTATGTGTTGACATTGTTGAATTATGTGCGGCAATGTTACTGAAAGACTGAAAGTTTATGTAGGGAACTGATATGTAATGTAACTTAAACTTAAAGGGTGAAAGTTTCTGAGGGGTACTGATATATAATGTGACTGAAAGTTTATGTTGGGTACTGATAGTTAATGTTACTGACCGTTTATGTGGAATACTGATATTTAATGTGACTGAAAGTTTATGATGGGTAGGCCCTACTGTTAAATATCAAGCTCCCTATCTACGGTTCGCAACCCACCTCCCTCTGAGTAGGAGAGGGGGGGGGGTTAAGAAATGTTTTTCTGAGGGTCGCCAACTTGCAGACTAAACCAAACAATTTTTTTTAGAGTCGCTTGTCATTTGGCTAAATAAACATGGGGTCACATCTTGAAAGAGTTTGGGAACCTGCGTGTTAAATGAAGCTATTAAAAAGATGTAAACAGCTGGTATGGGGTTGGAAGATTCAAGTGTAGGAGATGGCGTAGAAAGGTAACGATAGTAAGCACTGAAATTAACATATGTGCTTTTATCGTAACGATTGTTTCATACTAACACCAAATACTAAAATTAAAATTGTTTTGTACTTACACCGAGTGCTCGCATCTTTTCCAAGAATTTTTCTTGAATAGCCTTGACCTTTGCTTCACACTCTTTAATTAATTCCTGGACTTTGCCCGGACCTGTGGGTTGTAAAAAGAAGTTCAGCTGAACACACAATTCTAAGTGTCGACATTCTACATACCAGACATTCTATAATCGGTATACGCGCTTATGTTTTGCAGCACGGGCTGATGTACGTGCTTGGTGTTTGATATACAGGCTTGGTGTTCGATGTAAGGGCTTGCTGTTCGATGTACAGGCTTGGTGTTCGATGAACGTGCTTGGTGTTCGATATAAGGGCTTTGTGTTCAATGTATGGGCTTCTTGTTCGACGTAAGGGCTTGGTGTTCGATGTAAGGGCTTGCTGTTCGATGTATGGGCTTGGTGTTCGATGTACGGGCTTGGTGACTGTGTTCGGAGTGCGTGTTTGTGTGTGAGTATTGGGCGTGCGTGCTAGTATTCCACCTCATCTCCAATGTGAATCTGACTCATGTCACTGAAACTCTGACCATAATTTTTTCAAATTTCGAGCACAAAAGAAAACTAAGCCTTTGGGTCAGAACGTGTTGATAAAGGTTAGTGTGTATGTAGTGTTCTGGTTAGTGTGTATGTGGTGTTCTGGTTAATATGTATATGGTGTTCTGGTTAGTGAGTATGTGGTGTTCTGATTAGAGTATATGTTCTGGTTAGTGTGTATGTGGTGTTCTCGTTAGTGTGTATGTGGTGTTCTGGTTAGTGTGTATGTGGTGTTCTCGTTAGTGTGTATGTGGTGTTCTGGTTAAAGTGTATGTGGTATTCTGGTTAGTGCGTATGTGTTGTTCTGGTTAGTGTGTATGTGGTGTTATAGTTAGTGTGTGTGTGGTGTTCTGGTTAGTGTGTATGTGTTGTTCTGGTTAGTGCGTATGTGGTGTTCTGGTTAGTGCGTATGTGGTGTATTGGTTAGTGTGTATGTGGTCTGGTTAGTGTGTATGTGGTGTTCTGGTTAGTGTGTATCTGGTGTTCTGGTTACAGTGTATGTGGTGTTCTGGTTAGTGTGTATGTGGTGTTCTGGTTAGTGTGTATGTGGCGTTCTGGTTAGTGTGTATGTGGTGTTCTCGTTAATGTGTATGTGGTGTTGTGGTTGGTGTGTATGTGGTGTTGTGGTTAGTGTGTATGTGGTGTTCTAGTTAATGCTTGGATTAAGACTAAGATCGATTTTTTTTAATATATTAATTTCATCCGGCCTCATAAAATCGAACGTATGTATATCTTTCAATTCTCAACTTAAACCAACTAACTCTACTTAGGTATCTTTTTAAAAATACAAATAACGATAAATCACGTTTAAATAACCTAATACCAGAAACATTGAAAGTCCGTGCAAAAATCTTGGAACCAACGTAACCATTAGATGGTTACCAAGTTTCCCCACTTTAAAAAGTATCCCCATTGATCGGAATCGCGAAAATGTTGAATGTCAGAACACTTACATTTTTGGTTGGATGTGGTAGGGCTCACGATCAATAAACTATATCAGGACCCACGGCCCAATCCAACACACTCACCCACCCAATACTCATCGGCAGACTGGTCTCCGTTCTGTAAGTCTTATAGGTTACTTGATACTGTCTTGTTTGTGGAATGTCTTAGAAGAATATCTGCCTTGTGTAATGTCTTGTTTGTAGAATGCCTTATTAGTAGAATGTCTGCTTTGTAGAATGTCTTATTAATAGACTGTTTGCTTTGTAGAATGTCTTATTAGAAGCATATCTGCATTGTGTAATGTCTTGTTTGTAGAATGCCTTATTAGTAGAATGTCTGCTTTGTAGAATGTCTTATTAGTAGAATGTCTGTTTTGTAGAATATCTTGATTGTAGTATGTTTGGTTTGTAAAATGTCTTGATTTTAGAGTGTCTGATCTGTAGTAGGTTTGGTTTGTAGAATATCTTGTTGTAAAAATGTCTTTATTATACAATGTCTAGTGTGTAGAATGTCTTATTTGTAGAATCCCTTGTTTGTAGTATGTCGTGTTTGTAAAATGTCTGGTTTGTAGAATAACTTATTTGTAGTATGCCTGCTTTGTAGCATGTCTTATTTTTGTAGTATGTCTCATTTGTATAATGTCTGGTATGTTGAATGTATGGTTTCTAGAATCCATGAGGACACATTTCTGTTTTGCCTGTAGTGTAATAATTTCATGTAGTGGAAACTACAACAGTTAGATCATGTGACTCACATGCGACACTACTGTGGGCTATCACCAGATCGCCACAACGACCAATCCCGCTAAAAACAGTAAAAGCAGATGACAGATTTATGCTAATACCGCTCAAGGTCGGAGAGGGATTTGTCATTCGTGGTTATCTCCCCTTGGTTATCCCCCCCCCCTCTTGGTTATCTTCCCTTTGCTCTCCCTCTGTTTAATCTCCCAATGTGGAACTTTTTTTAATATTGTTATTGATTGCTATAGAAATGTCACTCTTGTTTTTTTTTTTAAATGTGATTGCTATCAGTAAAGGTGAGTTGGTATCAATTCTTTAAATAAGTGTTTCTTTCAGGCATCTATCCTGAAGGAGGAGGGGCATAGCCCCCTAGAGCATGTCCACCCCCATATGAAACAGAAAAAAAATAATTTAAGTATAATGTAATGTAACCTTTAACCAGTCAGCCCCCCCTCCCCACCCCCGAAGTTTCAAGAGCCCCCCCCCCCCCCACCATTTTTCTGGAGAAAAATATCTGAAAGAAACCTTGCTTTAAATGTTAACGTCTTGTTAAGTAAAAGAAAACTTGCACTAGAATCAAGCTAGTTTTCTGACATAAGCTAGTAGCCCAAACTTAGGTAACAAGCTGCCTGTCTGATCTCAGCACATAATTGTTGTCTTCTCCTTTAGGGCCCTAACCCACAAGGTCTTACTGTTTTATGACCTAAGCTGAGGTTGTTTCTTTAATATGATCTAAACTCTGATCTGAGTGTGTCTGATGAACACTGTCTACGTTTTGTACGTGAGCTAAGCTTTTATCAAATAGTGTCAATTATTACAAGGCAATCTTCAAGTGAAATCTTTTCCTCGAAATTTCCTGATCTTATTTCCCCCCTCCCCCAACCGATTCCCCCCCCCCCGTTAATTCCCATAACTCATGCCGACTAAATTAACTCCCCTATCAAGTGAGCTATCTTATGGCAACTGCCACCAGCTCCATCAAGTTTGCGGTAATTTTCGTGAATTATTTACCGCGGTGCGAAGCTGCCGCTTCAAATATTGATCAGAGAAACGCGCCGCCAAATCGGAAGTTTAAAAGGTAATGAAAGCTTGACGCCAACCAACCGGAACAGAAATCATGGCCGCCGGCCGACACGCATGCGCTAATTGGGTCAGACGGTGCACGTGCCAAGATGATCCCGCGATACTTTAGGCCAATGAAGTTTGCTTAAGATGAGGGATTCGATACCTTTGTGTTAATTAAGGTGTAGGAACCGCAGAACGTGTTAGCTTCTGGCTGTGCTTCAGCAGAAGATGATGCTCAAGTAACGTAAAAAAAATAGACGTGAGTATTTTTCGTTTTCCAAAATTTTTACTTAATCAAGCCTCGTTTGGAGCTCACATATTACAGTTCGATGTTTGTTTATCTATGTTGCTGCACAAGCACACACACATAATATGCAGCCAACTCACAGTCTCACACATACAATAGGGCTGGTAAGTAGGTCACCAATCACCTCTACGGGTCAATAAAACCTGCATGAGCCATAGAACTGGTTGGTGACCTACTTACCAGCCCTATTATTCGCATATATCCAGATAAAGCCGAGTAGACAGAACAGGCGAACGACGCTTACCCCAACGCAATAGTACAAAGGCACAGTGCCCGATTATTGATTGTCCGAATGTATAATTGCCCATAAGCTCATTGCCCTAACCCTATTGTCCGAATGTATAATTGCCCATAAGCTCATTGCCCTAACCCTATTGTCCGAAGGCCGATTGCTGAGAAGAGCCAATTGTCCGAACAGGCACTTAACGATCTCCCCATACAGACACCATAACAGACAGGTTGCTATAGAAACAAGACATTGTTGTCGATAACATCACAGACGGAACAACCAATCACCGGGAACAAAAGCTAGTATTCACCGTACATCTCTGCCTAGAAGTCTAAGATTCACACAACAAATAAAGACAAATAAGGACAAACAAAATACACCACACGTTCGCCAAAGCACTACCTATACAATGTCTAAAGAGTCTGTTAACATCTGGCAATGTCTGTTTAGGTTTAGAAAATGCAGCATTTAAAACGTTCAACTCTTACGACTTTAAGGCTAGTTAAGCAAATCTGTCTTTACAAATACAGGTATAGCTGTGAGGTTTCAGCATACAGCGAGCATATCTATACACATACACCCGTTAGCCGTGAGGCTTTTATCATACAGAGTGCATATCTGTACACAAACACCCGTTAGATGTGAGGTTACAACATACAACGAGAATATATGTACACATACACCCGTTAGCTGTGAGGGTTTTAACATCCAGCGAGCATATCTTTACACATGCACCCGTTAGCTTTTAGGTTTCAACACACAACGAGCATATATGTACACATACACCCGTTAGCAGTGAGGCTTTTATCATACAGCGAGCTTATTTGTACACATACACCCGTTAGCAGTGAGGCTTTTATCATACAGAGTGCATATCTGTACACATACACCCGTTAGATGTGAGCCTTTAACATACAGCGATGAGCTTGAATTATGTGCTTCTAATTTTAGATCCCATCTGCTCCTACGTCTTGTGTCACTGGCCAGATGGACGCATTTGATTGGTTCGGGATAAACATTGCCAGGTAATTTATGCCATCCGGGCATTTCGACCTTACACTCAACGGTGTTCTCAAACCATCAGTGTGTTGTCAATTTTATATTTGTGTAACACACTGCTTTGCTTTTTAAAACGTTTGAATTAGTGATAACGTAAATTTTAAGAATTGAAAATTTTATAATTTAATGTGTGAGTGAATTTTTAAGGCTATAGTTCTTGTAAATTAATTTTTAATTATAAATGATAATAAAATGTTTACATTAGTTATATCGTAAATTTTAAAATTTTAATTTAATGTGTGAGTGTGGTATGCATTTTTTAAGACTATAGTTCTTGTAACTTAATTTTTTGTTCATTTTTTAAAATTATAAATGATAATACTAGCTCTCTGCAAAACTTTTTTTTTCTCCTTATTTGCAAAACATGCGCTATTTACAGTATTATGGTCTACTAGTCACACTAGTTAACCGCTAACACCAACCTGCAGGTTTTCCGATCACTTTTGTTGTTTCCGATAACCAGACTATGTTCCTCCATATTAAAAATCATAGCCCGCACAATTGGGTTTGTTGCAGACGTGATGAGAAAAAAAAATGAAATGGAGGGAGGGAGAGAGAGAGAGAGAGAGAGAAGAAAGAGAGGAGAGAAAGACGAAGAGAGACACGGAGATCTTGATGATAAGGTGCATTGGATTGGTTACAGGCGGTGTTTTCGATTACTTCCCCTTTCCAGAATTCTCTCCCTTTTATTTAAAAAAAAACATTAGATGAATCTGTATTGCGCATTTAGAGGGGCGCCTGCTGCAGTTTCCCTGAATATAAACTATTTGTGTATACAAATAAAACCCAATAAACCCCATTGTTTATGATCAGCTGAAAGCATTAAATCCGTATTATTTCACTTACTCATCATAGTGACGTTAGCGTAGGTCTCCGGGCAGTGCACTAGTAGTAGGCGATTCTCGGCTTTATGGAAGTGATTCACATACCCTGGAAAGAAAAAATTCACAATCGATGAAATCAGTGTAGAATATGATGGATGGATGAAAGAAGAATATAGAACCGTGGATTAAACAGAGAATGAATTAATGAGAAATACCAGAAAAAAATATCAATGTTATATTTTTTTAAAAAGAAGACTTAATAGGGCGAAAAATAGGTTGAATAATTACCGAATAAGAAGAATGGGGTAGATAAAAGAATAAAAAGGTACAAGGAGAAACGGAATAGAAATTAGGTGTCAGGATATATAGTACAATGTCTAATGCAAATTGTCGTGTCTGTTTAGCGTTACGCGTCCTGTTAGACATTACAATACACAGACTGCGGTGTCTGTCTCGGTAAGATCTCTTCCATTGAACGTTACGATACCCAGACATTTGTCTGTCTCGGTAAGATCTGTTCCATTGAACGTTACGATACCCAGACAGATTTGTCTGTCTCCAGTGGGATGTCTGGTCGGGCTTTTTGTGCCATCTATGCTGGTTACAATGGCGTAATGGGTGGGGTATGTCGTTGTCAAAGGTTTTATGGTCTAAAGATTTATGGTCTTAAGTTTTAAGGTCTAAAGTTTTAAGGTCTAACGTTTTATGGTCTAAAGTTTTATGGTCTAAAGGTTTATGTTCTAAAATTGTATGGTCAAAGGTTTTATGGTCTAAAGAGTAATGGTCTTAAAGTTTTATGGTCTAAAGTTTTATGTTTTTAGGTTTTATGATCTTAAGTTTTATGTTCTAAAGTTTTATGGTCTTAAGCTTTATAGTGTGACGTTTATAATAGGACGTTTATGATATAATAATATTAACTTTTACGGTGTGACGTTTCATGGACTTAAGTTTTATGAAATGACGTTTTATGGCCTAAGTTTTATGGTGTGACGTTATACGAGTTGTCGTTTTTATCGTATTTATTTACGACCTCGTGTATTATGATATGACGCTGCTGTATGATGACATTTTATGGTATGATAATCTGGTTATGCATTTATTAGCATTTCCCAGATGTATGTCCTTGTCTTAATGTGTGAATTGTGTGCAAACGCCACATTTCATCCTAATTGGGAAAGCCATGGTTGGGCACGAGAGAGCATGATCAGTAACGCAATTGTCTTGAGTTCATACCCCGAGCAAATGATGCTCGTTAACCGTAGACAGCACCAATTCTAGAAGAGAAAACTCCGAAATCAAACATCTGTATTACATATTGTTTTTGGACGTACAAAGGCTATGGTAATACTTTTAGAAAGAAAAGCCGACTGAAGTCGAAGTTTACGGGCCGTATACGGCGCATAACAGGCTGCAACATAATATTTAACTACGCTGGAGTTAATTAACTCCAATCAGGGGCGGATTAAGCTTGAGCGGGGATCAGGGTAAAAAAAATTTGGGGGGCCCCTATATATATATATATATATATATATATATATATATATATATATATATATATATATATATATATATATATATATATATATATATATATATATAGTGAAAATTAACAATTAAGCAGTAAATTTGAGGACCCTAAAAATCGGGGCCCCTGACTGCAGTCCTCTCAGCCCCCACCCCTTAATCCGCTACTGACTCCAATTATATAATTAAAACGAACAGGAAGAAAATCCTTCTTTACCTGTCTAACTGACCATATTTTCTGTATGACTACTTACATTTTTAACGGTGGAAACTGTACAGAACCAAAACCCTAATCGGTCATGGACCAAATCAATAAAAACTTCTCTCAGACTGACTCAAGGAAACAACGCCAAAATAACACTCGATAAATTGTAAATTTTGGCAATAACGAGGCAACATCTTGAATCTAAATAGCCAATTACCTGCCAAGCGGGAGGTAATAAACTTTAATTAGCGTCGAATATTCAGTAGCGATAGTAAAGGAGAAATATTTTGATCTTTCAGGGGAAAATTCGCACCGGTTCCAATAAAGAAAAAGAAAACTCAAGCTGTAGGCAAAATTTAAACTAAAACTTATTTGTTTTCAATTCCAGCTTTTATGATGATCAATAGACTAGACTAGTACTCTAAAAATAAATAGATTCATAGAGCTAATTTATCCTAACATAGAAACAACGTTGGGGCAAGCATCCGTGAATGTCTATAATATAAACATTAAAGATTAAACATCTGCCTGTATAATACAGACATCAACAACCAACCATTTGTCTAAAATACAGACATTAACAACCAACCATTTGTCTGAAATACAGACATCAACAACCAACCATTTGTCTAAAATACAGACATCAACAACCAACCATTTGTCTAAAATACAGACATTAACAACCAACCATTTGTCTAAAATACAGACATCAACAACCAACCATTTGTCTAAAATACAGACATTAACAACCAACCATTTATCTAAAATACAGACATTAACAACCAACCATTTGTCTAAAATACAGACATTAACAACCAACCATTTGTCTAAAATACAGACATTAACCCACAAGCCGTCAGACATTTGCCAGAAAAACCAGTCAACGAATGCATAAAACCAGCAGTTAACCATCCCCACCCCTTCCCTTACACCCCCATCACTAATGACCGAAGCAGCTAGCCTCCACCAGCGGCTGTAATAAAATACACAACAACTGATCTAAACCAGACATTAAACTGATTAATAAATTAATTATTGAAACAAAAAAAACTCCACCAGATCTATCATGAAGAATTTACCAGCACAGCGGCAAGTTTTGTTTGTCGTCTACCCACCAGTATGACGCAAGGCCGACGTCACGGTTAATTGAACTCAATTTTTTTTTTGCATTGATTGCGTTAAAACGGTAATGAAGAGAGTTAATGAAGATCTATAGAGAACGGTGGAGTGCACGCTGACTTTACTCCTTCCCTCCTCCCCCCGCTCACCAGCGTGGGGGAAATTCAGAATCGATTCTGCCAATCAATATTCGACCACTAGAGGTGAAATCGATTTCTAGATAACGCATTAGAGTGGGCTTTGTCCGGGCAATATTTACCATGTGATCCAACACGACGTAGTGGGATATGGAAGGACTGGACATTTAAACTATTTAAATACCATGTGGGAATGTGGGTTTTTGGAATAACCGGGCATTTAAAACTCACTAGGGAATATGGTTTTCGGAATGACCTACACATTAAAACCATGTTTTAAAGAGGTTCTTGGAACGACCAGGCAATTTAAAGCCATGTTTTTGCCAGTGTTTCTTTGAGACATTTTTTTCCTAGGAACATTTGCCAGAAAAACCAGTCAACGAATGCAAAAAAAAACAGTAGTTAAACACCCTTCCCCCCTCCCCATCCCTAACGGCCGTAGTAGCTCGCCTCCACCAATGGCTGTAATAAAATACACAACTGTGATTCCCCCTTCCCCCTAGAACAGGGGTCTCCAAACTACGGCCCGCGGGCCAGATGCGGCCCGCGAGGTCCTCTCATCCGGCCCGCGGAGAACTTTTTGTCCACGGAAAAAACGTTTGTTGGTAACGGCTGAGGAAGTTTGCCCAGAAAAATCAAAGACATGCCTGGAAGAATCTGGCCCCCGAACTGAAATTTGATAGTTAATGCGGCCCTCGGTCTGAAAAGTTTGGAGACCCCTGCCCTAGAAGATGCCTGAAAAAAACTTTTGGTTTATTTTTTGGAAAGACTATGTACTTTAAAATCACGTGATGATGTGGATTTTAGAACATCAGATATGCACATCACAGTAAATATGTTTTATGACATCCCGACATGCAACCCAAAAGTGTCAGCAGTCAATACTAGATGTACACTAATACATGCACCACAATGTATTGTAGGCTGATTAGTTAACTCTGATTAGTTAACTCTGATTAGTTAACTCACAGCAAGGTATCAGCAAAACCATTCTAGGAGGTAGGTAAAGGCAATATTAATGTGAAATGGGCCAAGTTTACGCTAAGGAACTATCATTGTCTAAAATGCAGGTGGTGATGGTTAACACAATATCTCTTAGACAAGATTCGAAAGGACAAATATCTCCTGACAAAATATCTCGAAGAAAAATATCTCAAGGACAAATATCTTAAGGATAGAACATTCAAAGAAAACGTAACTCAAGGAAAATCGGTAGCGAGGATAAAAGAACAATGAAAAAATAGGTATCTCAAGGATAAATATCTATGATCTCAAGGATAAAAATCTATGATCTCAAGGATAAAAATCTATGATCAAATACCTTACGAACAACTTAACAACAATAATTTAAAATCTCGATGGCAAAATGCCACAAGATCAAGGAGTATCGTGTTCTTATTAAATTTTGTGATACTGCATGTTATGGTCAATACACAGGCATTTAGTTTTCAAGAGCAAGAGGAGATAGTAATTTAAATATAATTCGTGCTATTAGTGAGGTCGCGCCGGATTGGGGGGGGGGGGGGAGACCTTGCCTGTGACCAGTAGCGCCATTAATGGATATAATAATTCCCAATTAGCGCGGCCACTGGGACTTGGTCAGCCTAAAATATCTCGGAGACGTGGCGTGGGTGATGGGTTACTGGAGCAAAGTTGTCTAGATCAGCATCTAGTTGGGTCAGTGCTACGGGTCATTTCTAGAGTGTTCTACTGACAGCTTCGTCATCTAGGTACAATCAGATGTTTTGTGGCTTTAAAAAAATTCGTCAGTGATCACTCACAATACATTAGAGAATTTTATAAGCCCTTGAAAAATTAATTTCGACTTTTACATTCAACTAATGTCTTCAGTATAACGTTGAATTGCAGTGAGTTGTTTTTGTGGGCCTATATGTATACTTATTTCAATGATATACATAGAACGAAAAATTGGACTGTCCTGATTAATCTACAAATATGCATATACACACACACACACACACACACACATATATATATATATATATATATATATATATATATATATATATATATATATATATATATATATATATATATATAAGGCGTTTATATGCCTAGGTAGATAAAACTAAGTAAGGATTATTCGGCACGTTTTATTAT